GGGNGGGGGCGATCGCGGCCGCTGCACGCACGCCAAGGGCGGGCTGCCACCCACCGCCCCACGAAAGCAGAAGAAAAAACAAAAACAAAAACAAATCACAAGAATATACATGTACGCATCTATTCCTCTTCTAACGTACCGTGTCGTTTTCGTTTTCGTTTTTCTTTTCGCTTTTCTTTCCTCCGTCGGTGGCGTCCTTCTTTTTTTTCTTTTGGCCTTTGCGTGTTTACCTCCCCCTCCCCCTCCCTCTCTCTTCCCCGTCTGATTGCTTCATTATTTCACCTCCAGCTTTAGCCGACGCCGCTGCTCCTCCTCCTCTCGCTCCCGCTCCCGCGCCTTGTCGCCAAAGATGTCAAAGTTCGCCGGCTGCTTTGGTGTGGCAAATTCCTCGTGCTGGTCGTCGCTCTCGATAAGTACGCCTGGAGCCCGCATCTCGCGGGTGCACTGCGCCGGAGACGAGAACCCCCACAGGGCGACACCAATCTTCCGCGTGTGCCACCGGCGCTTGTAGGCCTCGGAGAAGAGTTCGTAGTGCGGACACATCAAGGACACGCCAGACACCCACGGGTTAACGCTCTCCTGCACGTAGTTTAGCAACCAGTCCAAGATGGCTGGGCAGAGACGCGCGTACCACGGCACATCTACGGTCCCCGTTCTAATCCACGTGCGCAGAGCGCGTCCGGAGTGAATTTGCCCCACCGCCACGTTACGGTCACGCCTTCGCACATAGTAGAGCACCGCCGGGCTGAACGCCACGACAACGGTGTGATCGTACATGTAGTCTGGATAGCGGTGGTACAGGTCAAGGACCTTGTCTGCGCAAAGCCGCGCCCGCCGCATCTCCTTGATTTCAATCAGCATCTTAAGATTGTTTTCGCGACAAAACAGAAGCGATTCCTCCAGCGTTGGCAAACGAATTTGTCCTGTTGGATCTGCCTGAAACGGAAGCCTCTTCAGCTCGAGAAGTGTGAGCTCATCTATGCGCGTCTTCGTCTCCACCCCCTTCAGGTGGCCATTGCAGGTGACGTCGTGAAATATGGCGAGCTCGTTGTCTTTTGTTAGCCGCACGTCCACCTCTATGCCGGCCACACCGCGCGAGAGGGCGTACTTGAAGGCGTCCAGCGTGTTCTCCGGCACCCCCGGCACGCCTCTGCAGCCGCGGTGGCCAAAGACGCGGGCTCCCCAGTCAAGGCGCGTCGGCCCGGCAGGAAGTTGCATGTGCCGCACGTACGCCCACCCCGCCGCCACCGCCACGCTGGACGCTAGAAAGACGCTTTTCATTGGGCTCCTGGAGACTTCCTGCGGCCGCCACCGCGTCACGCCGCGCACGCCACAACAACGCAAGAGGAGAGAAGCGACAAACATGTGGAGTGGCAGAGAGCCAACGAGAACGCGAGTTATGAGGCGGGAAGAGCAGAGGCAAAAAAAAAAAACAAGTAGTAAGGGGGATAAAAAGTAGGAGGAGGAGGAGGAGGGTGCCATCCCGGCAGAGAGGGGAAAACATACTCAGTGGCACACACACAGCCACACACGCACGCAGCGGGAGCTCACAGTGCGGCTCGAGGCAAGCCAACACCCCCCACGGAGAAGGAAAGACATTCACCACACGCAAACACCCATACAACTAAAATAATACAAAAAAAACAAAAACAAAAAAAAGAGCAACTGCATACGGCTATGATGACGGGGACAGCCGTCCTTGGGGGCCCCTTTGACCCTCTGCAGCCACGGAAAGCCCCGCCGTCAGCCGGGGTGCAGCGGCGAAGCTGCCGGCAGGCAGCAACAGACACGGAACACAAGCCAGCGCACCCACACTCTCCGACACCGCCACCACCACCGCCTCCCGCACGACGTCCAAAGCCTCAACTGAGGCACAACCACAGCGCCAGTAACAACAAAAACGAAAAGTGGACTACAACCCCTCTCTCTCTCTCTCTAACTAAAAAACACACACACACACA